CTCAACAAACAACAACAAAAAAGATACGTTCTCTCTGTGACCTTCAGTTCCCACAGCTTTTCTGAACAATCCAGGCAAAGGGACTAGTAATGGAGATAAAGCTGCCTACTGGACCATTGTGGTCTGCCTAGATCTATCCTGTTTCTGAGGAATAATCCCAGCAGAGCAATGCAATTGCCCTATGTTTCCAGAGCAAACCATGAGGACTCCAGGTTAGAGCTGAGGAACATCAAATGACTTGCTCTTAAAATTACAGGTGTGGTAGCATGGGGCATAGAAATACAATAATGCTTGACTTGAAGTTCCTTCAAAGGGAATGGAATCTAGATACTCATCTGTACTTCCCGGAGGAATATAATTACAGCTGGTATACCTCTGCTAAAACAATAGTCCTGTACCAACATGATGTCTTCAGTAAACTTTGGCATGAGAATTTCTTTCCTCAGCCAGGAATCATGTTTAGGTTGAACCAATGGCTATTTAAAATGTACTTAGAAAAAATTTAATAAACATCAGAATTCTACTCATTAGTTTGAAACAGATTTGTCAGTTTTCTCAGGACAGTAGACCCTATACCCAGACAAAGTTTATGGAGCCTCCCATACTTTGGTGAGCTCATTTTGTTTGTGGATGTCTTTTTCTTAATTGATTCATTGAAGAGAGCACAAAGCTTAATAAAGGCAAACTGATTTCCTTTGTGCTGTTGTGTATCCTGTATCGTGTATCCTGTATCATATAACTTTAACATATAGAATGTGATTCATCTAAAGATTTAAAAGGAGGACTGTATATTTAGACTTTGAGGTATTATAAATTTTGGCAAGCCAAGTGGTTCTCTGACTAGCTTATGATGTTAGGATTAGAGGAGAGGGATAAATCCACAATGCTATTTAAGACTGATATCTGCAGAAACTACGAAGTTCCCATGTAGTCAAAAAGCATTTGTCTCCAATAACACATCCAGAGATTTTCTACCTTACTAGTGGTGAATCCAAAAGGTGAGAAATTTTAATTATGTTCACATAGGCTTCCATAGATTATATACTGAATATGCAGATTTTTCTGGAAAGCCTTCAAAAGTGTAACTGGCATCAGTGGAAGTCCTTTGTACTGAAGACTAACTTGGCATTGCCTGGGAAAACAAGAGTCTGACTCATAAGGCTTCAAATAGTTCTGATGCCTGTGATTCTACAAGAATCACTACTCACACTTCCTTCTGGTACCAGCTGCGTGAAGCAGGAAGAGGCGAGGCATTTGGACAACACATGTCTGGCATCCCTTTCCGAGTATCTCAGTTGGGGCAGCACCAGCCTTTTTGGAAAGGCCTCGTGTCCCCACCACAGCTGCACGGCCCCAGCAAAACTGCCCATAAGCCTGTAGCTTTGGTTTCTTTTCTGGACTTGGTAAGCCTTTCTCTCCATGCCGTGACTCAATGGCATTTCCTGTTTCCTCTTTCATTTTCAGAGAAAACACATGCTAACCTCTTCAGGTTCCAAGGACTGAGTCTCCCCTCCTTCTGCTAAGGTCTTGCCTTGTCTGTGGGCTCTCTGGATGCCATCCTTATGTCTGTCGTGAAGCTATTAAGCCTCGTGGCAAAGACTTGAATTGGACATAAGGGAGACAGGTGTTGTGTAAGCTTCCCCCTCATGCAGCTTGTGCAGGATGCTTCCCTCCTGATCTCAAACACCCACCCACTGTTATTCCCATTTTAGACCTCTCTGGAGCAGAGAGCAATGTACCCTGCAGATGTAACTAGTACTTACTGAAACAAATAGAACAGACAAGATCACTCCGAATGCCAAAGATATACTAATCTGTTGACACCACCCACTTCTAACCATTCTCTAAAGTGCTGTAAATATTGGGTTTTCTGTTTGGGGGGGATTGTTAGACTAATCTAATGAGAGAAAAACCGAAGCAAGATTCCAAGCCTGTCATGGCTGGCTCGGCAGTCCCAGGCCTGCTTGGCTCTGCACACTCCCAGTGTAGATCACCCTCTACATCCTGGTTCCTCTCAAGCCTAGCAGCCATTTCCTCCAATAACTTCTGTATCAATAAATATATTTAGCCACCTGAGGTATTCACGCCAAGTGCTACTGCATTTGATCTTCAAATATGAGATTGTTTTAGGCCTGATGTCTGCCTTCTGAAGTGAGAGCCGGAAGGGTGGGGTGTTTTGCGACAAGTACGTGGTGTTTCTAGATCAGGTTGCTTTTCCTAAGACTTCTATTTAGGAAACCAAGTAAAATTAAATAATAAAAGGAAGAAGTTGGTGGCTGAAATGGAAGGTATTAAAGTTATCTGGGATTAAATAGAAGACTTATTTCATAGTAATATTGCATTTTGATAATGCATTTACTCCTTTCTGGCTGCCCCATATTTTATACATTTTTCTCTTCTTAATATCATAGCAGTGGGCTCCCAACCTTTTCAAATAGGGAAATCCCTTTTCACACCAAAATGCTTATTAAACCTTCACTCGAATCAATGATAATAATTGTACTTTTTTTTTTAGTAGCCACTTGAACATAAAACACAAAAAAGCTTCTCGAATTTAGCTACACGTGTATCTAGCAGCACATTTTATCATGATAGCACTTACATGCATTTGAAAATAGCAGTGTACAATCTATCAAGACGTAATATCGATCCAATCTAAAAACAAAGCTTATCGCATGTGTAGATTCATGGACCATTCAAGCTGTATACGGACCACATGTCAGAAACATCTAATTCAGAAGGACTGAAGTTTATACACTGTCCCGAAGTTTCTATGAGATGATACATTTCCTTCACTATCTCTGGTTTTTAGGAAGCAATTTATTTTGTCCTTGGGAAAAAAAAGTTAATCTAATTTTCTTAATCTGATAAATGTCCTGGGACATTCGGAACTATTTCCTAATTAAACAGTTCTTTACAGCAAATCTAGAGCAAGACTCTGAGGGGAAGGGCTGCTAATTTTGACAGCCAGGGTGAAAATCTCCCATTACAAGAGTAAAAATGGTATTGGATTAAAACAGAACTAAGATGTGATTTTATCTATATGCAAGATGATTAATAATATCATTAAAATAGGGAAGCGCATGATTTAAATAGAGGCCTACGTAGGGCCCTGGGAAGTGAGGAAAACAGCCCATGTGAGTGAGTGAGTGACGTTAAGTCCCAAGAATACAAGGATGCCTTTCTGCCAGCATCTATGGAGACTGGAGCAATGGTTTGTTGGGGTATGTAAGCCTGGTGGTTAAGTAAGGTGTAGACTAGCTCTCAAGGGACTTGTTTCTTAAACACCCACACATACACACACATATGCACACACGTGTGCGCACACACACACAGCTAAATAAAGACACAAAGCATCCTTTTAGTTTAATGATTTCTTAAATAAGCATTGAGAGGCAGGCATTGGAAGAAGGAATAGATGTTTCCATTGCAATTGAAAGTGATGCAAATCAGGGGCTCCTGGGTGGCTCAGTCCGTTAAGCATCTGATTCTTGATTTCCGCTTAGGTCATGATCTCAGGGTCCTGGGATTGAGCCCTGCATTGGGCTCCCTGCTCAGGGTGGAGTCCATTCCCAGGGAGGAGTCTGCTTATCTCTCTCCCTCCCCCTCTGCCCCTCTCCTCACTCATACTCTCTTTCTCTCTCTCAAATAAATAAATAAAATCTCTTTTTTAAAAAGTGGTGCAAATCATTGAGGTTGGATGGTACACTAAAGCATATTTAAGAGGCAAGGCAAGAGGCAAATCCATGGTTTTATACTTTCTGAAAGAGTAGTAATGAACGTATAAAGAGAGAGATGGTCTGAGTAGAGTAAGGATTGGAGGAAATTGAGAAAGAAGGAGGTGGGAGGTGAGCTCACCTAAAGTTTCAAACTCAGAAGAGGAACTGTGGCTTGTGGTCTTGGTTACTGACTGGTTGATTGTCTGTTCATGCTGGGAACACTAGCCGTCTGTTCTATAGTTGACTCAACTCGGAAGAAAGGTATTCTAACAATAGTGTGGAAGCTGAAAAGCTAGGAATTTTGCATTTACAAGTACTTCTACATTCTCAGCAAATATATTAAGCGTATATTTCAGAGAAATATTAATTTTCACGAAGTATTTTGGAGATGAGATTTTTCTTAGACAATTAAAAATATAACATAAATGGGGTGCCTGGGTGGCTCAGTTGGTTGAGCATCCAAGTCTTGGTTTCCGCTCAGGTGGTGATCTCAGGGTTGTGAGATCAAGCGCCTCCAACCCCATTGTTGGGCTCCACGCTCAGCAGGGAGTCTGCTCAAGATTGTCTCTCTTTCTCCTTCTGTCCCTCCCCCTGCCTGCAGCTCTCTCTCAAATAAATATACATATAGCATATAAATTATAAGAAAGAGGAACTGCCTTTTCCCAAATAATGAGTTCAAAATTTTAACTATTATATCTATTTTAGGACTTTTATATCCAGAATTTTCTATAATAGATATCAGAATTTCTGCAAAACTCTGTATTTATTTGGCTCACTTCATTTTTCAAAATTATAATATGTAAAATGTCAAAATATTATCGTCATCATAAATGCAACACGCATGATTTTTGAAGTATTCATTCTTGCATTTTCAAAATGATTAAATAAACCATTATATTAACTATTGATCACTTCCTACATTTTTCAAAACCAAAGACCATGATACAGAATAGTCTATTTCACATATCCACCTAAGAAAAAAATGTTCCTTATCCCTATTCCTTTTACTTTCAAAAATGTGTTAACATTGTGCTACCTTCTCTGTTGTTTTCATGGATACAGTGAAAAAGCAAACTCAAAAAACAGCAAAAAAAAGAACAACATGCACACACAAGAAAAAATATTTCCTGATATAAGTATTAACACTGCTGTTATTAATAGTGTGCTATGGTAAGTTACCACCATCTCCTAAAAGTTATACAGAAAAAAAGCTAAAAGTCCAAAAGTAAGACCAGAGTTATTACAACATGCAGAATAGAATTTGAATGATATACACAATACCTCTCTTTTCTTCCTCCTTCTCCTCCTCCACCTTCTCCCACTTCTCCTTCTTCTCCTTCTTCCTCCTCCTCCTCCTTCTTCTATTTGATTGGTTTTTTGATGGTCCCGTGAAAATGAAAGTTGATAAAGCAGGAGGGCTGCTGGTTCCCTAACATTTTTCTTCTCCAAAGCTCAAAGAGGAAAAGGCCAGGGAGGGACCTTTGTCTCCATAACTTCTGCTTTCTCTGAATCTTAATTTTGTCTCATTTTCATCACAAACTATGTTGAAGGACTAAAGCAGGGTCTGAGCGTCTGTTTTTTGCTGGGCTTCCTGGTTCTCTCTCTTTTCAAACACACCTAGTTAAAAGTCCCCAACGGGGAAATCCCAAACTAGCTGCTCTGAATCAGGGCCTTTATGTGAATTGTGATTCATTGTATGTGTCGGGAATAATGCGTTGGAATAAAAAGAAAAGCCAAAGTGATGACACACGTAAGTGGAACATGGGTCTGGGTTTTCTGTCATCCGCTTTTTTCTCTTCTGGACAGGTGCCATGTGTCTGACCTTGCTGCGCTGGTACCAGGAAGGTGCCTATCAGAAAGGGCGACTGAGGGGATATATTTTATAACCTCACAGGATAATGAGAGTAGCTTAATATGTGGGTTTCATTTTGTTCCAGGGACTTAAGAAGAAAGGGAGGCAAGAGCTCCGGGCATTACGTTCAGGTGTCCATGTGTAACTACAGTGTTATTTCTTATTTGTTTCCTCCATCAATTGTGGAATCTTTCAAAGGCTTGCACTGAGGGGCGATGTTGTGGTTACCTTAAGGGTATGTGTGTGTACCTGAGGGCGTAATAGCTTTGTGAAATCTCAGACCGAAATGAAAATAGCTGCTTCTGCAGCAGCCTGGCGTTTCTCCCGCTGGGACTTTCTCCGGGTCAAAGTGTTCTGCCTTGTCTTGGGGTTGATGGAATCACTGACCAGCTACAGAGGCAAGCTGTGGTCACCGCAGCTTTTGGCCTTTGACCTGTGATAAGGGGAGGTTAAGGGTATGGAGGCCGGGCACACTGGGGCGGTGGGGGGGAATCAAATTGCATTGAGCTGGGATTGCGTATAATTTATATATATTTTCTCCTGTGTGCACGGTATATCTGCAAATAAATCCATCTCTATTTTATTCATAGTTCTAATGGCAAGTCTGTGTCATGGTCTGAACCAGGTGGAAGACAGGTGCCCAAGGGCCAGCACGTGTGGCACCGCCTCTCTGTGCACGTGAAGACCAATGAGACGGCCTGCAACCAAACAGCCGTCATCAAGCCCCTCACTAAAAGTTACCAGGGCTCCGGCAAGAGCCTGACCTTTTCAGATACCAGCACCAAGACCCTTTACAACGTGGATGAGGAGGATGCCCAGCCGGTTGGCTTCAGCCCTCCCAGCAGTCCTTCTATGGTGGTGCCCCGACGCGTGCCACCCGCGGTGAGCACCCCGCCTCTGCCGCCCCACTTGACCACAGAGGAGACCCCCCTCTTCCTGGCAGAACCGGCCATCCCCAAGGGCTTGCCCCCTCCCCTCCAGCAGCCACCGCAACCGCAGAAATCCCTGATGGACCAGCTACAGGGAGTGGTCAACAATTTCAGCACCGGGATCCCAGATTTCAATGCGGTGCTCGCAGTCCCCGGGGGCCCAGGGAACGGGGTGCGCTCGCTGTTCCCGCCCCCGGCGCCCCCGCAGCACCTGCAAATGCTCCCGCTGCAGCTGAGCACCTTCGGGGAGGAGCCCGCCTCCCCGCCAGCAGAAGACGAGGACGAGGACGACAGCGAGAGGTTCAAGCTCCTCCAAGAGTACTTGTATGAGCGGGAAGGGAACACGGAGGAAGATGAACTGGAAGAGGAAGACGAGGACCTGCAGGCGGCCAGCAAACCGGCCCCCGAGGATTCGCCTGCTCTGACGCCTCCGTCGCCTTTCCGCGACTCGGTGGCCTCGGGCAGCTCGGTGCCCAGCTCCCCCGTGTCCGAGTCGGTGCTCTGCACCCCTCCCAACGTGACCTACGCCTCGGTCATCCTGAGGGACTATAAGCAAAGCTCTTCCACCCTGTAGGAAGGAGGTGTCCACATGGAAAAGCAAGAGAAACCAGTGAGCACCAGCACCTCCGGAGATGTGCGGACAGCTGGGAGGAGGAGATTCGGGAGAGGAGGGTGAAATCAGAGGGAAAGGGAGACGAAGCTGCTGCCTTAGGGAAGGCCAGAGGGAACTGTGCTCTGCAATCAAAAAAGGAGCCCGGCGAGGATCCCGATTCTTGAATTATTCAAAAGCTTTCTCTGGGAAGAAAGGGAATTCTGACAAAGCACAATCCCATATAGTGTACAACTTTCACCGCATAAATAAATAAATACATACATACGTACATAAATAAATAAATCAACAGAAATAATCTCCTCTTTTGGACAATTGTGCATAGATAGACGTGCCCACACACACTTGGCCAGTTTGAAAAGAGACAGCACATGTGGACCAGCCAGGTGGATCATTAGTTGACATCATGGTATTCATGGTAGTCATAGTGAGCGTGATGGAGCCAGACAGACCGGGTGGGTGAAGGAGGGGCAGGCATGGAACCACCCATGGCATGGCAGCTCATTTTTCTCTACCCTGTCTCCTTACTGGTGTTCAGGAGCCTCGGGAATTGGCCCAGACAGGGGCCTCTCTTCACCCATTGCACCTGATGCAGAGCCAGCCTTGTCACATTTGGAAAAGAGTGTATGGACACCCTGCTGCTCTGTGATTTCTCTCTACTTAGGAAAACAGGAATCGGAGCAAAAGCATCACCAAAAAGTGCTTCATCAGGAGTGCTAAGGGAGGATGGAGTGAGAAGCAAGACAGTACGTAAGCATGAGGTGGTGAACACAATCAGCACAGATAACGTCTCATAGTTGATACTCACTTATTGGTGATTTTGGAAAAAACGCTGGAACAAGAGATTGTTTTGAGAATGGCAGAAGATGTTTTGTGGATTATCTTGTGTTTGTGCCAAGGGGGGCTCTTCTCTGCCCTTCAATTAAAGAGAACAAACCATGTGGCAAAATTGTTACCTTACATTTACTGTAGCAAATATTATTACCAGTTGAACTCCTATGATGCAGTATGTGTATTTGGTGCATTGTTTCTCCTACGTACTACAGAAACTACAGAAACAAATCCATCCTCGAACTTAATGGTGTACTCACAGCAACTATTACTGATTCAATAACAAATAATTCTTTCCTTCTGTCATCCAAGTCCCTGTAACTAGTACTTAAATGTGTTCCTGTGTCCTTGTATATGTGTGATAATAAAATTTGTGCAATGTAACGTCAGTAACTTCGACTGGAAGGTTGTCTTTCCAATAGAGTATAGATATTTTTATGTTCTAATAATGTTTTATATATTTTCACCAATATTTACAGGAGCTCTTTGAAGGTTTGAGTGCTGTGATCGAGTGGTTTTCATACGCTGCTCAGATGGTCCTTCCTCTTCTAAGAGGGAACTTATTTTTCAGATATTTTATGATGTGGAACACATTATTAATGAAGTGGCTTGAAAATTTGTCACATTAAAAATTCATAAAAACCTGTGGGTAACAATAAAGAGGTACATTTTATAAATTTTCACACATCATTATTAAAACATGACATTGAAATGACAGTATTGAGATTACTTCAGGTCACTTTAGATTTTTTTTAAAAAAGATTTTCCACAGCGACTTGAGCTTTCAGTGACTGAAGCATATACTAACCTCTATGTCTGGTCATAATTTTTCAAATTATCTATTCATCACCTCTTACTTTCTTTTATTTGATATTTCCATGTACTTTGATTCGTCTGTTTTCACTGTCATCACTTTTCTTTATATTTTTGTCATTTGCTGTGTGTAATATCCACATACGTGTAATACAGTTTCATTTTTATCCTCCTTTTTACACCCAATAAAAGCAATTTTTCTTGCTGTTTTGATTTCTTCTATTATTTGTGGAATGAAGCTTACCCCTTTAAATATCTGTTTATGCCTTATGTGCAGTCATATTTTAATATGCTTCCTTCATGTGGAAGCTAATTTCTCAGCCAAAAATCATCTTAGAATCTTTAAATACCCACCGCATCATTTGTTCAGAATTTAACATCAGCTCCGATATTTGAGGCTCATGTTTCTTATGTCTTCCCATATTCCACTGCCAAGTTTAGTCAGTTCCATATCAAGAATGGACTGCCTTTCCTTTAAAAATTTATTTGTAACACCTTTGGTAGAAAGACCTCATGACTGAAACAAGAATTTCAGTTCCATGTTTTCACGGTAATGAAGCAGAATGAGGAGCGTAGATGGTTCCAGTGCTTAATAGGTGGTCTGCTTATTGGCAAACAAGCAAGTAAAAGCCTACTATCTATTATTCGTGGAACATGTTTTCTTATCTTAATGCCACTAACATATGTCCTTGATATCACAGGACTTGTGCATTCAGATTTTTTTTTTTAAGTAAGAATAGATCAGGAAAACTGCTCTACTATTCAAATAATATGTCAGTTTGTTCTGAGGTTTTAGTCTGAGACATTTGGTGAACACATTCAACACCAATTACATTATTTCTCTGAATGCCTAATGTCATGATTAAAAGTTTTCTTGAATACAATACAGTATTAGCTCTTATAGCATAATTGTTCAAAATTGGAAATGTACACATACATACCCTGTACCAAAAGGGCAGATATCTTCACCTTAATGTATGTGCTTATACAAGTTGTTTAGCTTCTTGTAAAAGTGTTTTCCTTTGGCTCATTATTGCCTTTTGTCAGATAATCTTGATAATGCTGTATAATAAATATTTTCTATTTATTAAATGTGTGTATTCCTTCTCTATGTTTTGTTGGAGTTACAATAAGAGAAATAGACTGGTACAAAAAACAGTTATTGTGGTTTGATTTTGCTCACAACATGTCTTCTAGATCAAAGTTGGAGAACATCACACAAAATCTATAGGCCAGGTAGGTAGCAAAGTGGAGTACATTTTGATTATGAGAAAGGTGGTACCTGAAACTCGAAAATTTAAAATTAAATCCAGAATTTCAATATTCAATGCTATGGCAGACATTGTCTTTCATCTTTTTGATAGAATGTATGAGGCTTGACAAACTCCTGGATCTCCAGCGGAGCCCTGGAGATGGAGGCATCTGAAGGCTGCCATCTTTGTTTTATTTGTGCCCCACAAGACTCACACCCTAGAGGAACCTGGTTTCTTACTTTGTTGACATCCTCCTTCTATTCTCTTACATTTCAATAGAGACTTCACTGGTCTTCAAAACAAAGAAGCCCATTATCCATCTTTTGCCATAAGATACCTACAAAGTAAAGCATCTACCCAGTGTCATTCAAGGGGACAACAATGCTCACACGAGGACCACATCCACGAGATTGTGATGTATTTAGATGGTAGGAGCAAACTGTATACAGGAAGGCTGATGTTGAAGAAATTTCCAGAAGCAGGGGCTGAGCCACCAGGGGGTTTCTTCACTGTGTCCAGAAAATAGAATGAGAAATCATGAAATGGCAGCTTGATGTCTGAGAGAGAAAAGTCATGGGAGAGAGAATGAGAAACAAAGAAAAGAAGAAGAAAAATGGAAATGTTTCAGATGTGTAGTCCAAAAATACCCTCAGATTGCCCAGTAGGTCATAAGGACCTCCACTTGGAGAGTCCAGAAGCTTCACCATAAGGAAGACATTTGAAGCGGCTGGGTCTGGGATCCCGATACCACAAATGTTGTGTGAGTAACTGCCCCAATAATTTCTATAGAGACTTTCCTGAAAGGGAATCAAAGAGAAGGGAAGCAACATGTTCATTGGCTTACTATGCACCAGACATCTTGCTAGGTTCTTTACATTCATTCTCATTTAATCTTTCAGGTACTACTGCTCCATGGATATTTTGGAGTATTGAAATAACTTACCCAGAGTCTCTGAGCTAACATGTGGCCCATAAGTGATTTGAGCTCCATCCTAAGTTGGCCCAGAGCCAGTGAATTCGTGTTCCTTTGCAGAGCTCAGGAGAGTATCCCCTTTTTGTATCCCCATAGCATTTTATTCACATCCTAACTACATTATAGTTTGCCTGTCTCTTTCCCTTAATAGATTCTAAGTTCCTTTTTGTTTGTGATCCATTTTTTTTTTCTAATCTGTGAGACTTCAGGGCAAAGCAGATAATCAGTAAATGTCGAAAAAAGGAAATAAGTGTTGTAACACCATGTAGTTTTCCCAGCTTAATTCTTTGAAGATTTATTCCAAGAGCCTTGTGGGGTACAGAGCTCTATATTTCCACCTACTGATCCTAACTCTGCCAACTGGAACAACACATGTTTTCATCATGAAAAACAAGCTCTCCTTTTGGCATCAGAAAGAGCTGTCCCACTGAGCAGCAGGTCTGACTTTCTTGCAGAAGAGCATGGCAATACTCAGTGTCCATTGAGCCCAGCCAGAGGTCTGGCAAAGCAATAATAGGTGTGGGAAACAGTGTCCTCTTCAGGAGAACTGCCAGTAACACATAGACTACTAAAGTGGGACCCCCATTAAAGTGAAGGCAAATAACTCATCCACAGGGAAAGCATGGGCTGGAGGTTCCTTCCTTACAGAAGTACATATCCTTAGACAAGGTAAAAGGTGAAACTAGTCACCAAGGCTTGTTGGGGACATGGAAGAAAGGGAGAGCCTAGTTTAGGGATTTGAAGTAATGACACCATTAAACCAAAAACTGGCTTGATTTTCTCATGGTACCTTGAGAAGCAAGGCTTATAAATTAATAAGAGAAAAAGAAGAAGAAAAGAAGAAGAAGAAGAAGAAGAAGAAGAAGAAGAAGAAGAAGAGGAAGAGGAAGAGGAAGAGGAAGAGGAAGAGAAGGAGGAGGAGGAGGAGGAGGAGGAGGAGAAGGAGAAGGAGGAGAAGGAGAAGGAGAAGAAGAAGAAGAAGAAAGAAGAAGAAGAAGAAGAAGAAGAAGAAGAAGAAGAAGAAGAAGAAGAAGAAGAAGAAGAAGGAAGAAGAAGAAGAAGAAGGAAGAAGAAGAAGAAGAAGGAAGAAGAAG